TCATGTGAGGACTGTAGGTCGTGAGGACTGTAGGTCATGTGAGGACTGTAGATCATGTGAGGATTGTAGGTCATGTGAGGACTGTAGGTCATGTGAGGACTGTAGATCATGTGAGGACTGTAGATCATGTGAGGACTGTAGATCATGTGAGGACTGTAGGTCATGTGAGGACTGTAGGTCATGTGACCAGTGGCGCTGTGTGTGTGGTTGCAGGTTTGGAGAGAGACAAGTTTGACAACAAGACGGTGTCGTTTGAAGAACACATCAAACTGGAACACAACATCTGGAACTACCTGTACTTCATCGTCCTGGTGCGAGAGAAGAACAAGACGGACTACACGGGACCAGAGAGCTACGTGGCTCACATGATCAAAGTAAAACACACACACAAGATGTCACATGGGGGGTGTTCCAGAAAGCGGGTTTAGTGAAAACTCTGAGTGTGTTAACCCTGAGATGAGGGAAACTCTGGGTTTTCAGTTCCAGACAGAGAGGTAAGTCAAACTCTGAGTCAATCACCATGGCAACTGACTCTGTGAACCTAACCTGCTCACTGGCAGGTTTTCTACAAGAAACCCTACAAGAAATCCTCCCTACTGCCGAGCCTGAAGCAAGCTGGCAGACACACATGGGTTGTTCGTATGTAGGCAGAATTAATTCACAATGCTTTACGCTGGGAGAGGATCTTCACACCCCGTCTAGATGTGCTGTCTTTCCCCAATGAATATCTGTTTGAACCGTACAGTTTTTCATTAGACTCAATCATTTACCGGACACACATATCAAATCTATATAAAATCTATATAAATCTAATAAATCAAATATGAATCAAATTAAAGGAAGGTACAGTCATGGCCAAGTCAAATGTGCCTTACCTGTTTGAATGATGTTTTTATATTTCATTTTAAGCTGAAGTGTGTTTTTCCCCTGTGAGATTGAACCTACATGAAAATCAGATTTTATTCAAAACCAGTTTTTTCACCTGTAAGCTACGATTTTAATTAGGCGTGGTTTAAATGTAAATTAATGGCAGGGCTCTCAGGTTTTGATCTCAGTTCAGAGTGAGATTTTTGCTGGGTGGCGGGGGGGGGGGGAGATCTTGGGTATGATAGTTTTTAAAGGAAGTGACATGCAGCAAGGTGCCACAGGCCGGAGTTGAAGCCAGGCCGCTGCGCCCAAACCAACCTATATATGGGACGCCTGCTCTATCCACTAAGCCACCAACATCCCGTCAAATAAGATCCTGCTTGCTAAATTTCCCATGCTGCCTCTCTCTCCTTGGCAGCTTTAGTGCTGTTACTTTGTTTATGAAATATATGCTCATATTCACTGTAGGCATTCATGAGCACCTCCAAGTCCACAGGTGTGAAATAAGTTGATCACTTTTTCTCTCCGGTTGCCATGGTGACTCGAGGTATCAGGGCTCCATTGATGATGGCTTTTTATTGTGGTTGTGCACGTGCTTAACTCAAGGTGTACCTACTCAGAGTTGACTGAACTAACTCAAATCAGCTGTTCTGGAACCGGATAATCAGAGTTTCCCAGCTCAGGGTAAGTCAAGTCAGAGTTCAGGATTAGACTCAGAGTATGTTGAACCTCCTACCTGGAATACCCCTCTGTACACACAGACATGTAAACAACAGACACCTCATCAACAGTCACTTCTGTTTCAGAACAACAACCTGGATTGGTTTCCACGGATGCAGGCCATGTCTCTGGTGGTGACGGACGGCGACGGCGAGCAGAACGAGATGAGGATGTTACAGGACAAACTGGCCGCAACGATGAAAGTGGTGATGACGCTGACCACTCAGCTGACAGAGCTCAAAGAGCAGGTAGGAACACACACACACACATACACAAATACACACACACACATTGAACTACAAGGAAACTACCCTGGTGCGACTGTCCTGGTGACGACAGCTCAACATCCTGTTTCTCACTGTATCAGTCTGGACTCAGTCTGCTGCCACAAACACTTCCAGTCGGGCCAATCAGGGGTCAGAACCGTATCAATCAGTCAGTCAATCAATTTTATTTATAAAGCCCAATATCACAAATCACAATTTGCCTCACAGGGCTTTACAGCANCATAGTATAGCATGTCGTCCAAAATAATGAAAATACATCATAGTCTAGCATGTCATCCAAAATCATGAAAATACGTCATCGTATAGCATGTCGTCCAAGATCTAGAAAGAAACATCATAGTACAGCATGTCATCCAAAATAATGAAAATACGTCATAGTATAGCATGTCGTCCAAAATCATGAACAAACGTCATATTATAGTTTATCAATTCAATTTTATTTTTAAAGGCCAGTATCACAAATCACAATTTGTCTCAGAAGCTTTACAGCATATGACATCCCTCTGTCCTTAGGACCCTCACCGCTGACCAGGAATAACCCTTTCAACAGCAAATAAAATGGTAGAAACCTCAGGATGATCTACTGAGGAGGGATCCCTCTTCCAGGACGGACAGACGTGCAATAGATGTCGTACAGAACAGATCAGCATAATAAATTAACAATAATCCGTATGACACAATGAGACAGAGAGAGAGACAGAGAGAGAGATGCAGGTAATAACAGTAGCTTACAACAGAACTTATAGTTCTGGCTACTGTGGTACAATATGTTGAAAGTATGTATTAATATCTGGCAGTATACATGTGTGACAATAGTCATATGTGTATAATAACAGTAGAAGTATGACTAATGACTAATGATGGCAGCAGCAGCAGGAGGCATCTGGCAGGACCACGGCAGCAGCACAACCACACACGTCACACTGTCCAGGCACCGCTGTGATATGAGTTAATCTGAGAGACAGTGGAGCACAAAGGCTCCGGAGAAGAAGCCGAGTTAGTGACATCCAGAATGGCCGAGTTAGTGACATGCAGTAATAGGACATGAGAGCCCAGCCCTGACTATAAGCTTTATCAAAGAGGAAAGTCTTAAGTCTAGTCTTACATGTGGAGACGGTGTCTGCCTCCCGGACCGTAACAGGAAGATGATTCCACAGGAGAGGAGCCATACTGACAGCGTCAGCAGCCAATCAGGGACTGAGTTGTAGTTGATGAGGTAACATTCAGGCCACAGCTTCCAGATCAATGACAGTGGCTCCTGAAGCAACAAGCGCTAAGTGTAAACACAGATTAAACACAGCAATAAGTGACATCACTGAGTCAATAACAACAAGTAAACAACAACAACAACAACAACAACAGCAGTATGACCTCACTGAGTTGTCTCCATCTGACAGATGTGTTTCTCTGCTAACGCTGGACGAGGCAGCGAAACATATTTTAGCTTTATAATACACGAGCACGTTAACGTGTCAGCTGCGTGTCTCGCCTCACTGTCACCACAGGAAACATGACGCTGTCACGTTGTGCTCTCAGAGCCGAGCAGACTGACCAATCAGTCCCCACAGTGCTCCTGTATCAGTCTGTGTCACTGTGAGACTTTCAGAACCGACCTCACTCAGGTGGTTCTGTTGTCTGTCGGTCCAAACTGTGAGTGTGACATCAGTAACAAACTGTTGTCAATGAAGGCTCAGTCACAAAGAACGCTCAGCAGCGTCCTGCCCGCTGCTCGCCCTGCACCCGCCGCCCCACATTCAGCTGGTTTCTGCCCTGTGATGCTGTTCAGAAGAAGACGGGACAGAGATTCAGCAGAGGAGCTGAGGACTGTGATTAATCTCTTCCTTCTGTCCTCATGGTGTGAATGAGTCACTCCTCTGTTCACTGATAAAAATCCAACGTTCACTGTTGTTTCTCTACTGATTGGCTGAAGGAGTCTGTCTGTCAAGGCCAGTAGTCCCACCCAAGAAAACCAGTGTGTGTTTTAACATTTAAAAGTCACAGTGCAACATGATGTTTTTAATCAAATGTTGGAACATACTTTGACATTTCTCTGATTACATGTTATGACATACTGTATTAGGACACTCATATGTCAGTTATAACGTAGTTTTGTTTTTCTCACTTGCACTGAGGGATGTTAAACTCAAACATACTCACTGTACCTTCTGTGTTCCTGTAGATGACGGAGCAGAGGAAGAGGAGGCAGAGGATGGGATTTGTTGACGTCCAGGCAGGGGCAAGCGCTGCGCTGCCTCCAAGTGCCGCGGGAGGAAACCACCAGATCTACAAAACATAGACTGCAAATGATCAGACGGACTGTTGACTACAGGATCCACATGTTCAAAGCATCCAGCTGGACTGATGGACTGATTCACAGGAGACAAGAAAAACACTAGAATGAAGCTATGAAACAAACTACTGATACATATTTCATCAGAAGTACATTTCTTTGTTTGCTTTGACTTTTTAATGTCTGGCTGATTCAGAGTTAGATCTGTAGTCTACGTCTGTCTCAGGATCAGCACGTCTGTCTCAGGAACAGCACACCTGTTGACCTAAATACTCAATCTAACTAACTTATATTGGTTTGTGGTTAAGAACAAACACTGCAACAGATTTTCTGCACAAAGAAAAACTCATACGGCTAAAAAAAACTTGAGGAGAATCACAGACTTCCTGGTTGAACGACTACAAGTTGCTCTGTGTCATAGAAACTGCTGGAATGTGCTTGTGTGTGTGTGTGTGTGTGTGTGTGTGTGTGTGTGTGTGTGTGCGCTTAAAGAATAACCATCAACTCACTTTAGTTATTTTACAGAGACTGACGTGCAGCATGTATCTGCTGATGGCAGAATTAACTTTTTCAGTAATATCTGTGTGAATGTAAAGTGAGTTGAACCCAGTTGTGTGTTTTTTATTTTAAATCTGGGGAGACTAGTTTTTAAGTGATATAAATATTATTAAGGTTTAATAGTGATATATATTTATGAAGAGAGCAGCTCTTGTTTGTTTGACACTGTAACTAGCTCATTACAGACACTGGATTTCAACTGAGCTGCTTTTAGATTAACTGCAAGAAAAGTATGTACTGTTTTTTTTTTTGAATGAGAACAGACGGGTACACGGAGGAGGGACGAATAGCAGGAGCAGGAGAGTGTCATGTAGATCACATCTTCAAAATAAATAAAATATTTTAATGAGAAACATGACGTTTCTGCATTACGTTTGTACATACACTTACATTTACATTAAAAATGCAGAAATTATATTTAAATGATTATTTTACACCGTGATGTGACAATTTTCTACATGTCAAACAAATGTTATCAATTTATGGAATAATAACCAATAAAAATTAAATAAAGACACTGATTATATGTATTATACCAAACAATTGTCAAAAAGGTATAATATCTGAAAAAACATCATAGTATAGCATGTCGTCCAAAATAATGAAAAAAGTTACAATATAGCATGTCGTCAAAAATCATAAAAATACATCATAGTATAGCATGTCGTCCAAAATCGTGAAAAACCATCATACTATAGCATGTCGTCCAAAATAATGAAAAAACATAGCATGTCGTCCAAAATCATGAAACAACATCATAGTGTAGCATGTCATCCAAAACCATGAAAAACATCATAGTATAGCATGTTGTCCAAAATAATGCATATACGTCACAGTATAGCATGTCGTCCAAAATCATGAAAGAACATCATAGTATAGCATGTCGTCCAAAATAATGCATATACGTCACAGTATAGCATGTCGTCCAAAATCATGAAAGAACATCATAGTATATCATGTCGTCCAAAATCATGAAAGAACATCATAGTGTAGCATGTCGTCCAAAATCATGAAAGAACATCATAGTGTAGCATGTCGTCCAAAATCATGAAAGAACATCATAGTATAGCATGTCGTCCAAAATAATGCATATACGTCACAGTATAGCATGTCGTCCAAAATCATGAAAGAACATCATAGTATATCATGTCGTCCAAAATCATGAAAGAACATCATAGTGTAGCATGTCGTCCAAAATCATGAAAGAACATCATAGTGTAGCATGTCGTCCAAAATCATGAAAGAACATCATAGTATAGCATGTCGTCCAAAATAATGCATATACGTCACAGTATAGCATGTCGTCCAAAATCATGAAAGAACATCATAGTATAGCATGTCGTCCAAAATCATGAAAAAACATCATTGTATAGCATGTCGTCCAAAATGATGAAAAAACATCATTGTATAGCATGTCGTCCAAAATGATGAAAAAACATCATTGTATAGCATGTCGTCCAAAATCATGAAAAAACGTCATTGTATAGCATGTCGTCCAAAATCATGAAAAAACGTCATAGTATAGCATGTCGTCCAAAATCATGAAAGAACATCATAGTGTAGCATGTCGACCAAGATAATGAAAAAACATCATAGTATAGCATGTCGTCCAAGATCGTGAAAGAACATCTTAGTATAGCATTTCGTCCAAAATAATGCAAATACGTCATAGAATAGCATGTCGTCCAAAATCATGCAAGTATGTCATTGTATAGCATGTCGTCCAAAATAATGCGAATACGTCACACTATAGCATGTCGTCCAAAATCATGAAAAAACATCATAGTATAGCATGTCATTCAAAATTATACAAATATGTCATTGTGTAGCCTGTCATCCAAAATCATGCAAATATGTCATTGTGTAGCCTGTCATCCAAAATCATGCAAATATGTCATTGTATAGCATGTCGTCCAAAATCATGCAAATATGTCATTGTATAGTATGACAAACAAAATCATGAAAATACGTCATAGTATAGCATGTCATCCAAAATAATTAATAAATGTCATAATATAGCAAGTTGACCAAGATCATGAATAAACGTCATAGTATAGCATGTCGTTCAAAATCATGCAAATATGTCATTGTATAGCATGACAAACAAAATCATGAAAATACGTCATGGCATAGCATGTCATCCAAAATAATTAATAAACATAATAGTGTAGCATGTTGACCAAGATCATGAATAAACGTCATAGTATAGCATGTCGTCCAAAATCATGAAAATACGTCATAGTATAGCATGTCGTCCAAAATCATGAAAATATGTCATAGTATAGCATGTCGTGAAAAATCATGAAAAAAAGTCATAGTACAGCATGTCGTCCAAAATAATGCAAATACAGTATTGTATAGCATGTCGTCCAAAATCATGAAGAAACGTCACACTTTAGCATGTCGTCCAAAATCGTGAAAAAACATCACAGTATAACATGTCGTCCAAAATCGTGAAAAAACATCATAGTATACCATGTCGTCTAAAATCGTGAAAATACTTCATAGTATAGCATGTCGTCCAAAATCACGAAAAACCATCATAGTATAGCATGTCGTCCAAAATCATGAAAATACGCCATAGTATAACATGTCATCCAAAATCGTGAAAAAACATCATAGTATAGCATGTCGTCCAAAATCGTGATAAAACATCATAGTATAGTATGTCGTCCAAAATCATGAAAAATGCCATAGTATAGCATGTCTTCCAAGATCATGAAAAAACGTCACAGTAAAGCATGTCGTCCAAAATAATGCATATACGTCATTGTAGACGAACAACATCATGGAAAAACTTCATAGTATAGCATGTCGTCCAAGATCATGAAAGAACGTCATAGTATAGCATGTCGTCCAAAATCGTGAAAAAATATCATAGCAGAGCATGTCTTTCAAAATAATGCAAATACGTTATTGTATGGCATGACAAACAAAACCATGAAAACATATTATTGTAAAGCATGATGAACAACATCATGACAAAACGTCATAGTATAGCATGTCGTCCAAAA